CTCCACCCCGCACAACATGATCTACTTGACCGCCAAAAAAAAATGCAGGTAAAAAAAAAAAGCAGTAACCTGGTTGCCGAGTTCACGAAGTGAATTGGGCTTGTTTTACAACGTCGTTGCCAAGCGACGAAAACCCAACCCCGATGGTAAAAACCGGGGGGGACGGACGGGGGGGGGGGCGTACTCTTATGCATTGCATGCCTCAGCGGTTAGACTATTAACTACGTGTCCTCAAGAGGACGGAGCGTTGTTCCCACAGGCCCGATCGCCGAAGGCCAATGGTTCCTCCCTACTTTTGCCAAAGGTGGATCAAAACTGTGGTTCCTTGTAGTCTATCTATCCTATCGACATCACTTCATTCAACCCAATTCCTAGCCCTAGTACAGCTTCTGCCGTCTTCTCTTGGCTATTCCATGCCTTCATACCGGCCTCGGGGGGGCGGGGGGTAGGCAGCGTTCCTTCATTTATTTAGCACTTTTGCGATACATTACATGCGTCTCACCGAAAAGGGAAGAGGGATCGTCAGCGCGCCTTGAACTGGCACTCCTTTTTTGCGATACTTCCCACCGAACTGTGCAGAAAAGAGCCCCGTTTTTCGTTCGAGATAAAACAGTCAGCCAGCATCGTGTATTTCCTTCCCCCAAGAGCTTTTCAACGGCGTTTAAAACACGCGCGTGACGGTGCTGGCCGTTGTCGCTGTGCACCCACCACCATCACGGATAAATCAATGACACTTGGAAGGCGGTTGTAGCACGCATGGGACCGCCACGCGAGTTACGGGGAAGACCTTGAGTGTCGAGACTTCTGGCTGGCTGGTTGGAAAGCAATGCATTCCCGTGGAAATTTCCACCCTTCCCATTCACGTCTCCGCGTGTCCCTCCCTGCTATAAAAGGAAAAATAAATACACACACAGAAACACTATCCATTCGAGATACATCCACAGTCGAACAGGATGTGGTGAAGTGTTTTCTGCTCTTTTATGTCTCCCTTCTTCCGACTCGCCCAACCCGGTTTCTTGTTCGCGAAAGCAAGTCGTGATATTTCCCTCCCACCCACCCCACCCTCCCCGGTGTTTGCCATCGGGATTGGGTTTTCGTCGCTTGGCAACGACGTTGTAAAACAAGCCAATTCACTTCGTGAACTCGGCAACCAGGTCACCGTTTTTTTTTTTTTCCTCTGTTTTTTTTTGGCGGTAGCCATAATGGTGGTCGAGTANCAAATGAAGTCATACACAGCTGTCATCCGTACGCAAGGAAGTAAGCACAAGATGCCGAACACCCTTAGCAGGATGCAGCGCACCCTTCATGCGACTCGCCGAATATCTCACGGCGCTTCGCGCTTGGTGATGTGAGAGCCTGGTCCGGTGAGAACCCGGCGTGCTCCGTCCCGGCTTTGTAGGGATGCGAGGTCAATGGTCTAACGACTACGGCATGCACGGCTATGAGTGCACTCCTGAGGTGATTGATCTAACCGCTGCTGCGGCATGCAAAAACAATGAGCATGCCTCCCCCCGTCCGCGTGCCCCCCCCCCCTCTTACACCGGCGGTTTGTTTCTCTCAGGTGAAAGAGATGGTGCCCGACATGAATCTGGCGCAGCGCTGTTGGGTGGCGGTCCACCAGCAAGACCCCGCGGCGGCGGCCAGCATCCTGGACACGGTCAAGGAGAGGAACATGGGTCCCTGGTACGCGAGCTTGTGCCACCAGCACCCGTCCCTGTTCCCGCTCGACGCGGCGCTGGCGGCGAGGATGAAGGAGGTCAACGAGGCGGAGAAGGAGCGCATCTCGGAGGTGTGTTATCTTGGCGCAGCTTGCGGTAGAGTACATCATTCGGGAGCGTGTCACGTCTCAAGACGACTGACCTCGCAACGCTTGGATGTGTGTTTCACACCACCTTATCTCTGATGTTTGTGTTCCTGTTTTGTGATTCGATCCACAACTTTGAATCGATAAAGCGACAAGACTCGAACGCCGAATACGAAATATTCACAACACTTTAAAAGCCATGACCACCTGTCGAAGAGATTCCTGGTGCCTCTTCCCCCAACCCCCCGTGCTTATGGTTTTTTGCGGGGCTAACGCCTCGGGTTTCGTGGAGAACCGCGAACTTGAGGTTTTTCCTCAACGGGTGAAGTCGGTTTGAGGGGCATGTTTATGTTTTTGTGTGGGAAAATCATGTTTTATGTCTGTGTACGTGACGCCTCGGTTTTGTAGAGAATCGTGAGCTTGACATATTACCCCGACCCATGTCGGCTTGAGCCTGGTCCGGTGAGAACCCGGCGTGCTCCGTCCCGGCTTTGTAGGNGGGGGGGGGGGGGGGGGGGGGGGGGGGGGCAGCAAACCGGGGGTATTCTTGCTGTTTTGCCAGTAGCCAATGCAACGATGGATGAGAATCGTCACACGAGAGTTGGTGTTGAACCGCATCTTCGGAACCTCTGCCGCGTATGCTGCTGTTCGCATCTCGTCGTTTGTGGTCCGTGCGCCAGGTGGTACATTGTAGATACGAGTTCTTGACAACGGTTTCCCCAAGCCCCCCGCCCCCAACCCTTACCGCCTGCCTGTCTCCCCTCTCCCATTTCAGACGTTAAAGGCAGCGGAGGAAGGAGAAGGCGACATGGAAGTTTTGGACGCGCAGTTCGAGATGGCCAAGATGTGGGCAAGAGTAGGGGACAAGGTACGGTTGAAACTTGCCGGAAATTTACAGCTCCGCGTGCTAGTCGTCTATGCATACATGCCCATGGCGCCATGTATGAACGTTCATTTCGGGGGGGGTGTATGCAATATTTGGTCGTATCAGACATGATACATGGGGTCGATCCCTCTTTTCTGCCAAAGCACATCATGAACCATTTTGACCAGGCCAGAGAGAAAGGTGTGGGGTTGATACCCCCTCTGCTACTCCATCGCGCAGAAGCCTCTTCGAGCTGTTTTGTTTCTGCTGAATAGTAGGAAACCAGGATGTATGGCACCACTTGCCATGACACCCGGTGATTTATCCCGCTGGGGAATCTCCCGCATTCCGCCGCACACCACTAGGAGGAACCTTTCAGGGATCTGGCCCGTCTACTACGTACTACGCGTTCGCTGATGCCGCTACGAGGCTGAATTTCTGTTCATTGGTTAGCGCGATTGATACTGTTGTATTGAATCACCGCACATACACGGGGTTGATGGTGATGCTAGCACGAGCAGATACCGCAGCAAGATTGTTACGTGGCAGTGTTGATTGAGGCACGTCCATGTGCAAGTTTGTTTCGAACCCAGAGATTGGACCCTCCCTGTCGTCCAATCTCCTCCGCCCCTCCGCCCCCCCCCCCCCCCCCCCCCCCCCCCCCCCCCCCCCCCCCCCCCCCCCCCCCCCCCCCCCCCCCCCCCCCCCCCCCCCCCCCCCCCCCCCCCCCCCCCCCCCCCCCCCCCCCCCCCCCCCCCCCCCCCCCCCCCCCCCCCCCCCCCCCCCCCCCCCCCCCCCCCCCCCCCCCCCCCCCCCCCCCCCCCCCCCCCCCCCCCCCCCCCCCCCCCCCCCCCCCCCCCCCCCCCCCCCCCCCCCCCCCCCCCCCCCCCCCCCCCCCCCCCCCCCCCCCCCCCCCCCCCCCCCCCCCCCCCCCCCCCCCCCCCCCCCCCCCCCCCCCCCCCCCCCCCCCCCCCCCCCCCCCCCCCCCCCCCCCCCCCCCCCCCCCCCCCCCCCCCCCCCCCCCCCCCCCCCCCCCCCCCCCCCCCCCCCCCCCCCCCCCCCCCCCCCCCCCCCCCCCCCCCCCCCCCCCCCCCCCCCCCCCCCCCCCCCCCCCCCCCCCCCCCCCCCCCCCCCCCCCCCCCCCCCTGCCGGGGGCAAGCTTGCCGGGGTGAACCCTTCTACTAGAAGGCATGTTTTTGTTTTTAAAACCCATCTAGCTTATTGAGACATTGAGGCTGGCGGATTTTCATCGGTCAGCCTGTTAGCGCGGTCGATGCCAAGCAAAGAAAACGCACAGAGCGCACGCGCGCACAAGCTGGTTAGTTGAGTTATTGAGTGTACCCCTTGCTCGACCCATCTCTCCCGCAAAATTGTGGACAATAATACCAACACCCAAAATAATACAAACAACACTTGACGACGACGACAACACAAAATACAATCACGAACCACAACAATAAAAAAACAACACTCCAACACACATGCACACCTGCGCGCACAAAACAGGCGGCGGCGTACGCGGCGTACGAAACCATCACTGAGAAGGCCAAGATCTCGACGGGGAAGAAGATCGATGCCATCATGGCCAAGACCAGAGTGGCCCTCTTCCACCTCGACACTCCGCAGGTGATGCCCCGCCCGCATGTATGTAGGTGGTGTTAAGTCTTGTGACAACCCCCTTGGCGTAGCGTGACGCCGCTCTCTCCCTCTCTTCGTACCAACCCCCCCCCCCCCTATTTACTTGGATTACTTGGATTAACTCCCCCTCGCGCGCCCCGGTCGCGCGCCCCTCTCTTCGAGGCGGTGAACACGATTCTTTCCGGAGTTGATGTACTCCCGTTCTGTTGGTTTCACACAGATGTTTTACCACACTCTTGAGGAGGACTCGACTTTCTCTGGTGGCCCTCCAACCTGACCGCACCTGCATGATTCGTCGTAGCAAAACATGGCCAGAAACGCCCCCGAGGGGGGTGCTAGGCCCAGGGAGAGATGAATAACAACCGCTAGACTTTTCCGCACCTTATAGCACACGTACCGTGTCCTCCGATCCTTTATTCTGCTTGTTCTGTTCACGTGTTATGTGTTCGGTCGAGGCCAAAGTTATGCCCCATGGTGTTTGCCCGATTTAATGCGATCACCCGCCACCCGCACGTGCTGTACGGATCGCCTTCTTTGTTTCTCTCTTGGCCTGGTGTGTGTTTTTGGTGTTTGCGTGCGTGTTTGTGTTTGGTTCAGGTGAAGGCGGGGCTTGACGCGGCGAAGAAGATGATCGATCTCGGCGGGGACTGGGACCGACGTAACCGCTTGAAGGTACAGTGCCGCTGTACACCAGTCACAACGGGCTATTTATTTCACGCCTTGGGGTTGTTTACTACCGTGTACTTCGAAGTATGGTATATAGCGGGTAGTGTGCCCGTTCTTAGGTTTCGTGCCGTGTGGATGGCGTAGTAGGACGTGGGGGGGCTGGAGACCTTGCCAGGAAGGGCAATTGATCCATATCCATCAGGGTTCCATGTCCAGTGAGGAGCTTCAATGGTAGTCTTGTATTTCCCGTCAGAAACAGGAGATAGTGACAAAGGAGAGCCCCCATATGGATCCCGTAGTTCATCCAAACATGGATGTATATCCTAAAATATATCCATACCACGGAGCCCCCCGAGTGTCCGTCTACGAGCTTCGACACAAGCGAGTGCCACATTGACCGAAGTCGGCAGGCCCGCAATAGTGCCGAGCTGCCATAGTCTGAACATTGCCGGATGTCCCACTATTACAGAGCGTATGTTTCGTGTTTCCCCGGCAGCGCTATAACTCACTCCCTCTGGTCGACGCCTCTCTTCTCTCAGCCTCTGTTTTTGTGTGTCGTCCATTTTTTCTCGTTTTTTCGGCTGTGCGGGAAACTAGATTTTTCCTCGTTCTGCCTGTCTTTTTTTTTTTTTGTGGCCGTCTTACTGCCCCTCCCCTGTCTTTTGTTTTGTGACGCGATTCTTTTTTTCGTTTTTGTTTTGCGGGAAAGGTGTACGAGGCGCTCCACCTGATCACGTCTCGAGACATCAAGGGCGCGGCCACGCTGCTCCTGGAGTGCGTGTCCACCTTCACCTGCACGGAGCTGTGCAGCTACAACGATTTCATCCTGTACACGGTGGTGACGAACATCTTGACCCTGCCGCGAACCACCCTCAAGAAGAAGATAGTGGACGGACCAGAGGTGTGTGTGTTTTGCTTTTTGTTTTTCTCACCCTCGCCCCGTCTTATCCCCCCCCACCAGGGTTTTGTCGTTGAATGGCGTGACAGGGGTTTGAGCGAAGCTTGACCCCTGCCGCTTCTTTGTACGAAGCAACTGTAGTTTCAGTTGTTGCGTTGTGTGGTCGGTCAAGGCACGTCGTGGTCGTCGTCATTGTTGTGTGGTGACGTTTCGACTCTAGCTTCAGGGCGACAGCAGTAGTTCCCGATGCCCCCCCTGCTTGCATCTCCCCCAAATTACGAGCTCTTTTCTCGGTCGTTCTAATATACTTGTTTTATTTGTTTCCTTCATTCCATGTTGTAGGTGCAAAGATAGACCGCGTTTTCTCTTAGACATTTTTTGTGGCGTGCTTCGTTGTTCGATCCGATCTCGACCAAGGTGCTGGCGGTGATCAACGAGATCCCCAACATTTCGGCGTTGGTCAACAGCCTCTACGACTGCAGATACCGGGACTTCATGATGGCCATCGTGGAGCTCAATGGGCAGCTGGAGAACGACCGGTACTTTGCCACCCACTCGACGTACCTAGTGCGGGAGCTGCGCATCCTGGCATACACTCAGGTGATCCCGTGGTCCCGTCTTGATTTGCATCAAGGGCGTGTGTACGTGAGTCACGTACACACTTGCGTTTGCCTTCATCTGTTACCGTTTCCGTCTTAACCCGGACAATAGTCTAGCCTCCCCCGATACCCCCCTCACGGGACCCACAATCATGCCTGGCCATTAGAAGCGTTTTCCGTGTTAAACCGCACCGTGTTGTTTGATTTTACCATCGACCGACCTGATAATCGCCTGGCCAACGAAAAGAGCGTGGGGACTGACTCAGTGTTTGTGTGCAGCTCTGCGGGAGCCCTTGTGGTGTTAAATCTGTTCTGTTTATTCTCTCTCTATATATATCTCTCTCTATCTCTCTCTATCTCTCTCTTGCTCTCGTTAGTGTTGTCTCTCTGTTGAAGCCGCATCCAACGCTTTACGCAACCGACTTACAAACACCCACCCGAAGTTTTTGTGTTGAATCACAAGTCGTATACATCCACCTTGCGAGCCGGGTACCGTGAAGTGCCTCAGCGGACGTACATGTTGTGAAAAGATGAAGCGGTACAACAACGGCGTATATGGCCGTGCTACCATACGGGACGCAGTGTGGCGGCTAGCGCCACCGCCCCAGTGTCCATGCCCATGACTCAACTATTGCTTGAAAACATGGCCTCGAGGGGGGGAAGGGGGGGTCCGACATAGTTCACGCAGGTACGGTGAAAAACAAAGTCCAGCAGGAATTCTTGCAGGACGCACATCTACTCGTAGCTTGGCTCAGAGCGAAACCGACCAGGTGTTACACCCTTTGCTTACGTCACCGGTGGTTCATTCGCTTCTAACGACGACGACAACAGTTCTTGGACGCGTACAAGTCGGTGGTGCTTGGCACGATGGCGACGGCGTTCGGAGTGGGGGAGCCGTTCCTAGACAAGGAGCTGTCGAGGTTCATCGCGGCGGGCAGACTCAACGCTAAGATCGACAAGGTGAGGTAGACGAGAGCAGGAAGCGCGCACCTTGTGTTAGGCTTGGTAGTAGTCGACATACCTGGAGAAGCCGTTTTCCTGAGCGGGTTGCAAGCTGAGCAGGAATCCTAACTTCACGACCTTTGAATGTGCCGTGCGTAATACAATACGTGCGTAATCGCCTTGTGCCGTTTCCTCGATGATTTCTCTTTGTGTCCCCCCCAAACTCAGGTGGGAGGGGTTGTGGAGACCAATCGCCCCGACTCGAAGAACGCACAGTACCAGGCGTGCATAAAGCAGGGGGATCTGCTGCTCAACCGAGTGCAAAAGCTGGGCCGAGTAGTGGATGCTTGATTTATCGCTCGTTTGCGTTCTTTGGCTTTCCGAAGCACGTGCTGCATCATCACGTGGACGGCTGGTGTCTCCTTCGCTCTGTATCCTACTTTTTCGGCAAGAAAAGGACAACTGTATCCGAAAACCAACCTCCCCTTGGTGTCGATGTTATTTGGTGAAGAGGAGGGGCTCATGACCCGAACAGGGCCTGCTTTATGGGGGGTTGGGGGGTCAATCAAGAATGACCTCTCCCGTCTTGATGGCCGTCGCGGTAGAACACGCTCGCGGCATGCTCCTAAGTAGGGCCCGTGGACAATTTGGGAGAAATGAAGGAATGCAGCATTGCAGCAGCAGCAGCAGCAGCAGCAGCAGATGAGATCCACGTGCCCCCAGGTCGCACCCCTGATTAGTGTTGGTAGGATTGCCGCAGCGAGCGCACATGTACCCCGTCAGGATCAACACCGCGAGGTTGGACATGTGGGTGGACTGTCAAGCCATGCGTCCCCATCAGAAACCTTTTGGCTGGGGGGAAGGGGAAGTAGACAAGGACGTGCCACGCGCCGAAAAGCACACAGTTCAGGGAGGAGAAATGTGCATGTTGACAGGAAATCTCAAATCTTGCGACCCCCCCCCCCCTTTCGCGGCGATTCTGGGTACGTGCGTGTTGCGCCCGAATCGTCTGTCGTTGGCAACGGATTTCCATCCATCAAGACATCGGGCCAGCTATGTAATAGCGTCGTGCTTTGTAAGGACCTACACCCTCACAGGCAGCGCGCCCGGCCGATCCCTCTCGACTTTGCGTCATTGGTGCCGGCCGCCATGTCTTGAAAAAGACAAAATTTGCGAGACCCAGCCACAAAAACCTCACCGGGTGGGGCCTAGGCCTGGTGTGTGTTTTTTTTTTCAGAGGAGCGAAAAGAAGCGGAAGCGCTCCCAGTTCCTTGCGATGTATTTTGCGGCCGGGCTCCTTGCATCCTATCCCGTCCCCCCACCTGTTGCTACAATCTTCCTTCACTACGCTTCCCTACCCCCCCCCAACACACACACCCTCACGTCGCATTTAAAGTTTGGGCTTGGGTGCCTCCAGAGTGGAATCGTCTCGTCAAGACAGACGAACAAAGCAACAGCACGGGGAACACAAACACACCTACAAACTTAATTTATTTATTTCGATCGCTTTCACAAGGGTACTCGCCATCATCCTGCACCGGTCGTCCGGTTCCGGTTCAGCACTTTTGCGCCTCAGCGTTGTTCACACGCAAAAAGCGTGGGCACAAAAGTGACCAGCCGGCCGGTGCTCGACAACAAATTTCGACCGGTGTTCTTCTACCGCGTATGCCTGCGGTGGTCTCCCACACTGTCTATTCTAGAAGATCACAGGCGCCGCCCCCCCCCCCCCCCCCCCCCCCCCCCCCCCCCCCCCCCCCCCCCCCCCCCCCCCCCCCCCCNCGACAGGTTGGCAACGGAGAGACTAAAGACTTTCTTGTTGGCTCTTTCCTCTTTGGAGTTCCTCAATCAACTCTACTCAGGACGAAACGGCACAGTTGAACCAAAGGAAACGAACGACGGCGGCGACAAACAAACGAACTAGAGGTTGCAAGTCAGTCACTCCACACGGGTGAGGCGTCTCCGGACCGGGAACGTTTCCTGCTGTCCCCTCCACTTCTTCTCGTCGGTCACCAGCGTCGTCCCTCTCGCCGGGGCTTCCATCTCCCTGGCCCGGCTTTTCGCGAACACTTCTGACGTCAGCAAGCGCCGCTCCTGCCCCCCCTCACGGAGATGCCTGCGGGGGGAGTTGTGTTATCCCATGGACGATATTTCAATTTTTCGGGCGGGACGCAACGAAAGGTGAAACGCCGCATATTTATCGTTTACGTTGTTCGATCGACGAGGGAGGGGGGTTGTTGTATACATCAGCGGAAATTCGCACGCACTGGCATATAAAAATTCGCGGAAAAGTTATCTAGACCAGTAATTTACAGAAAAACTCGCGCTAAATAAACCCGAGAGCAAGCTAAACTTAACGAACAGTGGCGAGAACCCATCGCACCCACCCACCACCCACACAGGTAGCACAGCATGTAGCCAACAAGCACTTGTCCTAGACATAATCATCCCGTACTTCGCACCACCGTCGCTCGCAGTGTCTTCTTTTTTATGTAATGAAGAAGTGCGACCCGGAGTCACTCCGAATGGGTCCTTTCCCAGCCTTCGATTTCATGGCGAGGACACAGTTCGGCAGCCTCGACTCCCTCGTCATTGGTTTGAATCATTGCTCGAATACTGTCTCGCGTGGGCACTCTGTCGGGCGGGAACGTACGTGCCAGGCCCATCCACCCGCCCATATATATCGGGCACCTGACCTGTATACTGTACTATTAATATATATGTACTATTAATATATAATATTGGTCAAAGCTGACAACGACTATTTTCTATGCCAACAACAAGTTTCATTCGCCCTTGACCGAACACCCGCCCAATAGAGCGTCCGTCCACGACGATAGCGTGCCTACGAAAAAGGTGCGGCAATTCCTCAAACATCGACCACGCTCTTTGGGCCGCTAGCACAACAAAGTTGCCTGCAGCCCACAAGACAAGACAGCGCCCGCTCACCGGTCAAAGAAGCGCAACAAGTCTCCCGCACGGATCTGCTCCAGTGCCCTGGCTTCCTCTCGCCTTCGGTCGAACCTGAGCTGACCGGTCGATATCTCGGCCCAGTTCCGCTCCACTTCGGAGGACAGGCGTCGGTCGGGCTCTAGCTTCCTGTCTACCAGGCCCCCCACGTAGTCCCTGTTGTTGGTTGTTGTTTTTGATCATCAGCAAGCGGAGAGACAGACAGACAGATAGACAAGTGACGGAGACAGAGACAGAGACAGAGCAAGAGAGGGACAGAGAGAGCAAGAGGGAGATGAAGATAACTAAGCAGGCACTCGTGTTTCGGAACACATTGTCACATCACGTTCCGAAAATGGAAACAAATGAAGACGATTCGAATCCACGAGCTTAGTCTTCCCTCCAGAACGAGTCGCGTTTTCTGCACAGCAGCGTAGGGTATCTCTTGCTGCTGTTTGGTCCGCCGCCTCCTCCTACCCCGACGGCTCGACACGCAAAAAAACACGTCTTTCCACAAAGTCTCAAGATGTGGACATATTCATACTTCTAAACAAGGCGCGCCTCGGGAGTGGGCTCATCAGGACATAGCCGTAGTGTCATCTAGGCGTGATGCAAGGCGAACGTGTAGAGCATGTGTTGGTGAGAACCAGCTGCTAGCTGGGATCATTGACATCCCAAGCTCGAACAGCTCACACAAGCTGACGTGGTTTTGACTCGAAGAGCCCAGGGAACCTCAACCGAAAGACAAAAAAAAAAAATGTACTTCGTATTATTTTTCGTAGTGAAAGTCTTGTGTCGGCATACTTGAGCTTGCTGGCGGGAAGGTCGACGAGCTCCTGCCTCCACTGGTCCAAGAACTCGAGGGACCGGTCCGTCAGATATGCGGGCCCCCGCTCGGCCGACTGCACCAGCAGATACATGAGGCTGACCCCCTCCACGATCTTGACGCCTGAGAAGACAAGGTAACCCAGCTGCTGCTTCGTCCTGAGGGAGTCGTAGTAGGGGTCCTCTATGATGGACATGAGCAGCTGCGCCAGCACGCGGTTCTCGATGGACCGATCCGACACCTGGTGATGATGCGCGCGATGGATGGGTTCGTGGAAGGGGACGCTGGTTGCCTCGAAATGGAAGAACATTTGTTTTTTCCCAACGGGGTGTCTTCTGCCACACGACTACGCCTGGTCAGGATATCGTGGGTCGGTGGTAGTGGTCCTGGATAAGGCCGCATACTGTCGCGCCAAGGGATTTGGTCGGCATTATTGGAACAGGATGTAGATGGTTCCCGACACGTTCCTCACTGCTGTCTCACAGGAGGAAACTAGGTTTTCTAGCCTGGACGTGCTACTCTTTGAACGTGTGGTGCCTTGTTAACAATATACAGCAGCGTCAACCCAGCCGCGGGATGCCGAACTCGACGTTCGGGCCACGGTTAGATTGGGTGAATCGGGCTCCGGTTGGATTGAGCCAGGTTCCGGTTGGGTTTGAATTGGGTTCCGGTTGGGTTTGAATCGGGGTTCCGGTTGGATTGAGCCAGGTTCCGGTTGGGTTTGAATTGGGTCCCGGTTGGGTTGAATCGGGGTTCCGGTTGGATTGAGCCAGGTTCCGGTTGGGTTTGAATTGGGTCCCGGTTGGGTTGAATCGGGGTTCCGGTTGGATTGAGCCAGGTTCCGGTTGGGTTTGAATTGGGTCCCGGTTGGGTTGAATCGGGGTTCCGGTTGGATTGAGCCAGGTTCCGGTTGGGTTTGAATTGGGTCCCGGTTGGGTTGAATCGGGGTTCCGGTTGGATTGAGCCAGGTTCCGGTTGGGTTTGAATTGGGTTCCGGTTGGGTTGAATCGGGTTCCGGGTGAGTGTGAGTCGGGTGCCCCGGGGCGAGGTCAAGTGCGCATGGATTGAGTCAGGTTCCTCCGACACACAAGGGCCGAAACTTCAAGGTATGGATACAACACATACCAGTGGACGACACGTAGCCTCGAATACACATGGAGAATACCGTAATCATCGGGGTCTTGGCACATATCGGGGTCTTGGCGCAGGGTGTGCGGAAAAAAAGCGAATGATTTGCTAGATTATCGCAAAGGTATCGTCGTCTCCGCACACTGTGCGGAGACGCCGATATGTGCGGTGAGGTTTGGCGGTAAGTGATACCCTTTCACCAGCATCTTGCGCTGGAAATTCCGGATACTGTGGGAGCTTGAATCGCGTGCTCCACTGCTACTGCTGCCCTTGGCACCATGACGATGTTCAAAGATGTGGTATTTGTACTCTTTGTTCTCCTCTTTTCGTTCTGAAGAATCAAGACCGGCAAATCGGCAAACGGCATCCACTCAACAATTCTAAACGCAGATGAAACCAAAAACGAAGTAAAAACTCACACCAAACTACCACCACGAGCTACCAACGTCCTACTACTGTACTTCCTAGGCGGGTTGAACTCTACATCGTGCCCGCGCCCCTACCATCGCAAAAACATCCAATCTCACTGGCAATCCCAAAGAACTATGATTCAAAGTTCGACTACTTCTCCTTCGGCGCCCCCGCCCCCCTGCCCCTCCACGACTTCCACGTCGCTGTCGCCCTCCAAGACCTCCACCTCGCTGTCGCTCTCATCAGCGACGTAGGGCAGCAGCTTCCCGTCAACCTCCTTCTGAGCAGCCGTGATGGGGTTGGGGTCGAACCCCCCTGGTACCTTCGGCAGCTTGAGCGGCGGGAGAGTCACGTCGGGGTGCTCAGCGAACCTCACGGCGTGCTGCTCCTCGAGAAAGTCGCGGTAGTCTCCCGAAGTTGTGCTCGCACCAGGCGTGGTCTTCGCTGCCGTCGAGCGTGAGCGTGAGACCGCAGATCTTGGAGCAAGTCTTCACCGTCTCGGGGGTGATGGACTCCCACGCTTCCTTGCATCACGTAGAGACGACCCCACGCTCCGGTGGCTTCCGCTTCCCCGACCGGGCGTCTGCGACCGCCGACGCGCTGTAGGCGGTGTACTTGCCCCGCAGCAGCCGCTTCATCTGCTTGTTGAGCATGCGGTCGAGCGGTTGGAGCAAGGGCGTCAACCCGCCTGGGATGAAGATGACGATGGTGTTGGCGTCTCTCTTGAGGGCGGCGATGAAACCCTCGTCCTTGTGTCACTCCAAGTCGTCCAGCACCAGGATGCACGGACGCTGCTGGACGATGCTGCCGTTGTTGGGACGGAGCTTCCAGCTGCTCGAGATCCACCCGTTGCACTCCCG